TTCCAAACCCCTAATCATTTTAGTTGCCCTTTTCTGAACCCTTTCCAAGGCCAAAATATCTTTTTTGAGGTGAGGAGACCACATCAGTACACAATACTGAAGATATGGCATACCATAGTTTTATGCTTCCCCTCCTCCTTCTTCCCCTGGCTTCCCCCTTCCAGCTCCCTCCTCCCAGGTTTCTCCTTCCCCTCTTCCACCCTCTCTCTTCCCCTCTCCCACCTCCTTTTCCCAGTCTCCCCAGAGGTTAATATCCCCCCCCAAGTTTTGTTAAATAAAGAGAGTTTCTACTTTTGAACACACGTGTCCTTTATTTTTTACATCAGGAAGGGGGGCTATGGAGGGGTAATTGGAAGGAGGTGAGGGAGGAATGGGGCACCATCCCCCGATGGGGAGGATTGGGGTGGCTCTGCGGGCTCTTCAGAGTGGAAGCTCTCCTGCAGGGCCTCCTGGATCCTGACAGCCTCCCGATTGACCCTCCCCGGATGGCAGCCTGCAGCAAGTGCAGCCGGGCTGATAGCCGAGTGCTGTGATGGGCACTCAGGGCACTCCAAGACAGGACTGCTTTGCTGTCCCTCATCGAGTTAGACAAGCAAGTGGGGAACCCTGAGAACTGTCTGTCCAGGGTGGGGGTCGGGTCCCTTTAAGCACAGCCCTCGGCTAGCCTGAGGCAGCAGCTCCACACTCTAAGTCCTAACCTGATGCCCTGCCGGCACTGCTTCCGGCCAGCCTTAACCTTGTTTCAGGGTCCACTCAATGTGGACATGCTAGTTCGAATTAGCAAAACACTAATTCAAATTAGTTTTTAGGCCTAGATGCACTAATTCGAATTAGCTTATTTCAAATGAACTAATTTGAATTAAGTTAGTTCAAATTAGTGTTGTAGTGTAGACATACCCTGATAAACTAACATGGCTACCCATCTGAGACAGTACAACAGCTTCCTCGAGAGACTGGTGAAGAATCCCACCCTAGAATAGCTCAGTGACAAAGGTAGTCTTTTATAGTTTAAGCTAGAGCTGAATTTAAATCTCTTCTCAACATTACATGGAGAGAACTGAATCTGGATTTCCTAGGCCTGATCTATACTAAAGGGGAAGATCAACTTAAGATACACAACTCCAGCTATATTAATTACGTAGCTGGAGTCAACGTGACTTAAATCGCTGTCCACAGAGTACGAGGTCAATAGCAGCAAACGCTACTGTCGGCTTCCCTTATTCCGGAAGTTCAACCACTTAAATCGCTGTCCACAGAGTACGAGGTCAATAGTTCAACCTCAGCAGCGTCAATCTTTCACATAGTGTAAACATGGCCCTATAGTGTGAGTGAGTGCTGCAATCACTGGGCTAACAGTTAGGAGAGCTCTGACTCCAACTCAAAAAAATGTAAATGCTTCTTAGCTGAAATTATCTAATAAACTCAACACAAATTCACCAATAGATTGGGGTTGCTCAAAACTCTATTTTTAGTGAATAAACTATTTGTCAAAAATTTCTCCCAGCATTAGTCTGCAAGGTTGAGCTCCCATATAGCAAGTCTACACAGCAGAGCTAAAGCTGAAATAAGTTGCACAAGTGTGTATCTAAAGTCGAAATAGCTTATTTCAGCTTTTGGCATCGTCCACACAGCAGAAGTCAGAGTTAAAGTACTTTGCTAATTCTGTGCTGATTAATGTTTTCATTCCATAATTGTGACATAATAATATAATCCTATTCCTTATTCAGGTTTCAAAACTATCAGCTTGGATAGGAAGCAAATTAACCCCTCTGGGATCATTGCCGATGTGGTTGATTATCCTAATATCATCTCTGATGGTCACCTCAGTAACCGAAGTAGCCAGCAATCCAGCTACTATCACTATATTTTTGCCTATACTAGCACCTTTGGTGAGTACCCGATCTAGGTCTGTTTTAACCTTCATGTTCATTGCTCTAGCCAAGAACTATACACTGTATACTTGGAATGGTGTCTACAAACTCCACACTGAGCATAAAGTCTGGAACTCACAGCTCCAACAGAGAAAATAAAGCCTACTATAAAGGGGAGAGAAGGGTAGAAGGGGAAACAGAAAGATCTGGGTTAGCAAAAAGGTGGCAGTTCTGTGCCAGGTTGCCTTCAAGAAAAAGTAAGAAGCCTGCAAGCCCTAAAATTAAAGGACTAATAGACCTAATGGAGATGAGGGTCCAGGAACCAATTTGACTGAGAAACGAAGGTGGGTCAGGTAGGAGAAACTGAGACAGACCACCCTAAGAGGCAGTGACAATCACATTCAATAAAGTCTCAATGCCTGGGTACCGTCAGTCTAAAAATGGAGCTGATCAAAGATAATAGTAAAAAAAATTGTTGCAGGATCAGCAACAGATAAGCATATAAGATAACTTATAAACAGATAAGTTGTTCTTTCAGAAGGTTGTTCCTTTGCATTTGAAGTTATTCATTCATGCACTTGTATTATTGTGGCAAGGAAATATTTGTAGGTATATGTCCCTGGAAACCTATTATTTATTTTTATCTTTACCATCTTGCAGGCTGAAGCTATTCATGTGAACCCACTTTATGTTTTGATACCTGCTACATTGTGTACTTCATTTGCATTCCACCCAATGCCATTGTATTTTCATATGGTCATCTGAGCGTTATTGACATGGTGAGTTAACAAAAAATCCATAACATCCAGTATTCCTCTCTGCTAATCAGGCTAATGCTGATGTCTGATTTTGCAATTTTTGAAATTTTCTTCAAAATTGCTTAGTTGTTATGTTTTCTGATATAAACTTTTGATTTTTATTATTACCCTAGGTGAAAGCTGGCTTGGGTGTTAATATCATCGGAGTTGCTGTAGTTATGCTTGCTGTCACAACATGGGCAGTGCCCCTGTTTGATCTCCAAACATATCCAAGATGGGCACCAGATCTTTCCATTGTGAACAACACCGGGCTGTAAAAATGAACTGGCAGGGTCTTGGTGGATTTTTACTATTATTTGGAGAGTTAGTAGAAATGCAAAATGCACCACAATAATGAGCATGATCCAGGTTATGGTAAATTCCATATTTTTCAATCCCAGGGATCAATAATCTGATTATCCTAATCAGGAATAATGTTATCCAAATATGGACTTTGCAAACACCATCAAGCTTGAATGTGTTTCTTATCCAGATTGTCTTATTCAGACTTTACTTGTACATGCTGTTAGTACCGTCCGTGAATGTGCACATTCATTATGAATGACAATTTGACCCTGTTCTTAGGGTCATACAATAACAGGTGTCTATTTGAACATTTTCCATGTAGGAACATTTATTGCCGGTCTGTAGAACACACTATTATTGTTGTTTTTTTCAAGTCATAACCTATTAGACATTGATGATTACACCTGAAAGGTCATAGTGGGAGGTTGTTTAAACAATCCATTCATAGATCTGTCCATGAATCTGATCTTGTTGGAAAAGTACAACCCGTGGGAAGGTGCTTGAGTATTTATATAACCCCTTTTCTGTCAACATTGCTCTGAACACCATCCTACCTCTATATGCAGAGATGATAATTCAGAGCCCAGTTCCAGAAGGCAATTAACTGTTTAAATCTGTCCTTATCTAGCATTGCACTGAAGCATTTGCTTAAAGTTAAGGACATATTATAGAGCTGTCCTGGATAGAAATTCTTGCCTGAATTGGAAGCTTTAAGAGTGAGCAATAAATTATCAGAATAATTCTCTGCTCTGTACCTGTCAAAACAATAGATGCATTCTTTAGATCGGAGGTGGGGAACCTAAGGCCCGGGGGCTGGATCCCGCCCCCAAGGCTCAGGGATCCCCTCCCCCCCAGCATTGAGGAACCTGCACTGGCACTCCAGCCCCCACTCCCACCCCACGATGCTGAAGAACACAATTCCTACTAGTCTGGGCCTTCCTAGGCTCTGGTATGTGAGGGGAATGTAGGGAATGTCTTTCTCCGTCTCAGTCAGGGGCCACATCAGTTAGGATTTGGGATTTTTCCTCTTCTTACTTGTGTGCAGCCCCCAATTGATTTTATTGTGGGCCAGCAGCCCCGACCCAAAAAATGTTCCCCACCCCTGCTTTAGATTAATGCACAGTGTACAGTCCTAGAGAGTTAAAATTCAACCCTCTTTAACAAATTGTAACCTCCTTTAATGACAGGTAAAATGTTAAGCTTCCAAACAGGATTAAAGTCAGAAACACTAAAAAAGCCAATATAGTTGAAGAGAAATTTTGCAGTTAAAAGCTGTTCAGAGATCATTCATATTGTTATAATGTGTTTTACAGATTAAGAGCTATAACAGTCTCCTTTTAATGTGTTATTGTAGCTAAAGAGTTGTGTGTACCATCATCCCAAATGGTAGACAGATTTAAGTTCACATACTTTAGATCAGGAGTCGGGGCTCTCTTACAAACCTCTTAAATTGTAGTGGGATGAGACAATAGAAGTGTTTCCCCTGGGGAACCTCACAAAAAGAACATTGGTATATCTTCAGGCATCCCAGGGAGAAAAATTTTGCAAAGATATTTTCTTGGCAAGTTTGGAGAAAGGGGGCATATTGTTTTCTGCGATGGAAGATATGAAGTAAGCAAACTTCTTATGCCCTTGCATTTACTACACACAATGAATGTAATGTCCTTAAGCCTCAGAGGGGTAGCCGTGTTAGTCTGTAACTTTAAAAGAAGGAAGCCTGTGGCACCTTAGAGAATATACATATCTTGGATTCTGTTATTTCCACTCCAACTCATCTGATGAAGTGGGTCTTACCCACTGAAGCTCATGATAGTCTCTAAGGTGCCTTGGACTACTTGTTGTTTTGTAATGTCTTTAGCTGTCCACAGCTTGCAATCCTAAGGATATCTATTGTCTTACTTCTGGGGCAGCTAAATATTGGCCAAACAAGGCAATTTGCTTGTTGTCTAAGACTCACTCCCAGTGTGTTGTAATGTTGATACAGAAGCACTGATTGAAATTGTCATCTTGTGTATGGCATTGTTGTCTACTCAGTTTGCGGGTCCTGGCCAAATCAGAATGTCACATCAGAATGGAGCTCCTTGCATTCTAGGTTGCCCGTATTCTCCCCTTCATTATTAAAGAAAATGCTGCATAGATTACTGTGACGGTATCTTGGATTCTGTTATTTCCACTCCAACTCATCTGATGAAGTGGGTCTTACCCACTGAAGCTCATGATAGTCTCTAAGGTGCCTTGGACTACTTGTTGTTTTGTAATGTCTTTAGCTGTCCACAGCTTGCAATCCTAAGGATATCTATTGTCTTACTTCTGGGGCAGTTAAATATTGGCCAAACAAGGCAATTTGCTTGTTGTCTAAGACTCACTCCCAGTGTGTTGTAATGTTGATACAGAAGCACTGATTGAAATTGTCATCTTGTGTATGGCATTGTTGTCTACTCAGTTTGCGGGTCCTGGCCAAATCAGAATGTCACATCAGAATGGAGCTCCTTGCATTCTAGGTTGCCCGTATTCTCCCCTTCATTATTAAAGAAATTGCTGCATAGATTACATTTTGCCAGCCTCTTTAACAGTTAATAGGACTGTTTCATTATAAAACTGAGGTGTAGTTTGTACAGCAGAACTGTCAGTTAGCTTTACTGCTGTTTTATTTAGAGCCTTTTAATGATCCCATTGACAGCATAAAAAAAGTATACAAGTAAACGGGAGACAGGTTTAAGCATTTCAAGACAGGATGCACTCTTAAAAGTTATTTTTACCAGTGGATTTAATTTGAAGTGAATAGTTTGCAGGGGGCAAAGAGGAGTGAATTGTACAGAAAATATAAGTTGCTGTGATTTGCTCCATCTATTTTATACACTGGATGTACCCAGAGTTTCTTGGGTCCTTCAAGGCAGGGGGTTGGGGATGTGGGGTGCAGGAGGTAGAGCAGGGGCTTGAGCATGTGGTAAGTGCAGGGTAGGGGATTGGAGGTGTGGGGGTGCAGGCATCAGAGCAAGTTGCGGGTGTGTATGGGACATGAAGGGTGCAGGAGCTGGCAGGTGCTAGCTGGCTGCTGTGGGGACCATGCTAGTCAGGCAATGACTCTCTATCTATATATATAAAAATAAAAAAGCATGTCACAGAGGACATTTCCCAATGCCTCCTGACGTGTTCCTCCTACCTTACCGTGTTGTGACTTCTGCTTCAAAGGGCCTTCAGAGAGTCCATCATGTCCTTTATGATTAGGCTTGAAAAGATGAGATTTTTACTTGCAACTGTCAGTAAATGTCAATTTCATTTTATATTCAAACTAAGGGAAAATATTTCTATCAATGATGATTGAAATTTACAGATAGCAAAGTAACAAAAATGCTGCTTGAGAACTTATTAGAGTTTGATTTAAAGATCTTTACCTTGTATAGTTTGACATGATGTCAACAATTTGTGTTTTAATGGTTATAAAGCTTTAACTTTTTGAATTTCTATGTCTACTGTCATTCATTGTCTGACATTCCCCGCTCCCCAACTCCTCATATTTTCTGATCTCAGATATTTTCCTCTAGGTACAAAAATTTAAACATTTAAAAAATTAAAAGCAATTGAAAATTTTAATTGATAAAAATGTAAATCTATATTTATTTGATGCATTTTTACCTGTCAAAAATATAAAAGAACAGTCGAATTCTGCCAAACTTATTTAAGATAAGTGCTTTCTTTACATGCTCACTAACCATGAGGAAATACCATATTTTCAGTGATATGGAAGAGATATTAGGTGCATTAAAAATATAGTCCTTATTTAAACATATAAAACAAAAACATTTGCTATAAATGTATATGATTATTATCAAAATGAAATGCAATAATGTGAGTTTATTTTAATTTTGACTAATATTTTAATTATGATATCACATGACAGCAATGATAGCTAAAATGAGCACACTTTTCATTAATTGTTTTTATCCTTTTCTGAGTAAAGGAGTGTATGAATGAGTGAATGTGGGATTCCTGTGACTGAAACACTTTTAAACTTTTTTTTTTTAAACTAAGGAAATTCCCCCACACAAAAAGCTTTGTTGATGTGGTGCTAATGATTGTTCAGATATAATGTTATTTTTTTTAAAAAGTTTTTAAACAAAATTTTAGTTAAAATATATCAGCATATTTGCCCAGCCATTTGTTGGCAACAACCTCAACCAGGCGAACAGCTGGTAGCACACTGTTAAAATAAGTTAGTGTGAACTCATCATAGATGTGCAGCAGTTTGTATTGACTGCAGCTGCGGTGCAGATCATTAGAAAATAACGGTTTAAAGAGATTAGCTGCACAGTGGCCCTGTCCTGTTCAAAACCAGTTCAGGTATGATTATAGGTGCTTTGGCAGATCAAAACCATTTGTGGACAGATCACTCATTGCACCAAGCACATTCCACCATCATCTGCCATGGCTGCATAAATGACCATAAGGGCATCTAAAAGACAGGTGAGTTGGTGGGTAGTTGAAGATGTCTGCAAAGGCAGGTTGCTATTCTCATGGATCCTGGCCAGCAGCATGACAGAGGCCTTTGTTATTCAATACCAGTAGCCACTGCAATGGACGTGTCCGTAAAGTCCCGTTGATAACACACACAGCTTTGTTTAGTTTCATGTTGACCAGCTGCATGAGGCAAGTAACACCATACAAGAGCACAGTACTCCACTGTGTCATCCAGGCCAATGGTTCTCAACACAAGGGCTGCTTGCAGTCCAATAAACACAGAGCTGCAGCCCATGTGATGTCTCCAGCCATACAGGTAGTAGTATATATATATTGTAGAGATGCAGCCCACATAACACAGAGAGAGCTGCATATGAGGTCCTAAAGGTAAATAGATTGAAAACCACTGGTCCAGGTGCTCACACTCCAGGTTGTGAGCAGATGGGTTCCGAGTACTGAATCTGGCTGCTTCCTCAGGTGGTTGTGGTACATTAATAATCAGTGTCACACTGAGGTAAACCAGGTTCCAAAAAATGTTCAACTTGTGCCTACACTGTGCAGATGAAATACACTAGGGTATGTCTACACTACAAAGTTAATTTGAACTAACGGACGTTAGTTCGAATTAACTTTCATAGGCGCTACACTAGCGCTCCGCTAGTTCGAACTTAATTCGAACTAGCGGAGCCCTTAGTTCGAACTAGGTAAACCTCATTGTACGAGGACTAAGCCTAGTTCGAACTTACTAGTTCGAATTAAGGGCTGTGTAGCCCCTTAATTTGAACTAGTGGGAGGCTAGAAAGAAACCAACAGAACACCACTGGCCATCACCTACAGTCCCCAGCTAAAACCTCTCCAACGCATCATTAGTGATCTTCAGCCCATCCTGGACAATGATCCCTCGCTCTCACAGGCCTTGGGAGGTAGGCCGGTCCTTGCCCACAGACAACCCGCCAACCTGAAGCATATTCTCACCAGCAACTACACACCGCACCATAATAACTCGAACTCAGGAACCAATCCTTGCAACAAACCTCGGTGCCAACTCTGCCCACATATATACACCAGCAACACCATCACAGGACCTAACCAGATCAGCCATACTGTCACTGGTACATTCTCCTGCACATCCACCAACGTAATATATGCCATCATGTGCCAACAATGCCCCACTGCTATATACATCGGCCAAACAGGACAGTCCCTACGTAAAAGAATCAATGGACACAAATCTGATATTAGGAATGGCAACATACAAAAACCTGTAGGGGAACACTTCAATCTTCCTGGACACACAATTGCAGATCTAAAAGTAGCTATCCTGCAGCAAAAAAACTTCAGGACCAGACTTCAAAGAGAAACTGCTGAGCTACAGTTCATCTTTAAGTTTGACACAATCAACTCTGGATTAAACAAAGACTGTGAATGGCTTGCTAACTACAAAAGCAGCTTCTATTCTCTTGGAATTCACACCTCCAGATCAGCTGCTAGAAGTGGGCCTCATCCTCCTTGATTGGATCCACCTGGTCATCTCCAGCCTGATCCTGGCCTGCATATTTATTCCTGCCTCTGGAAATTTCCACTACATGCATCTGACGAAGTGGGTCTTTGCCCACGAAAGCTTATGCTCCTACACTTCAGTTAGTCTATAAGGTGCCACAGGACTCCTCGTCGCTTTTGCAGATTCAGACTAACACGGCTACCCCTCTGATACTTTCTTTATTTTGTACATCAGGAAGGGGGGCTAGGTCGGGGTAAGTGGAAGGAGGTGAGGGAGGAATGGGGCACGAGCCCCCGATGGGGAGGACTGGGCTGGCTCTGTGGGCTGCTCGGGGTGGAAGTTCTCCTGCAGCCCCCCGATTGTCCCCTCTCCCCGGATGGCAGCCTGCGGCAAGTGCAGCCGGGCTGATGGCCGAGTGCTGTGATGTGCCAAGTGTGGGCACTCAGGGCACTCCAAGCCAGGACTGCTTTGCAAGCGGGGAACCCTGAGAACTGTCTGTCCGGGGTGGGGGTCGGGTCCCTTTAAGCACAGCCCTCGGCTAGCCTGAGACAGCAGCTCCACGCTCTAAGTCCTCATCTGATGCCCTGCCGGCACTGCTTCCGGCCATCCTTAACCTCTGTTCAGGGTCCACTCTGTGTGGACATGCTAGTTCGAATTAGCAAAACGCTAATTTGAACTAGTTTTTAAGTCGAGATGCGCTAGTTCGAATTAGCTTAGTTCGAATTAACTAATTTGAATTAAGTTAGTTTGAATTAGCGCTGTAGTGTAGACATACCCCTAGAAACTAGTGTAGAAAATCTTGTCTGTAGATGTCATTAATTAAAATAGTCTGCTATGAGCTTCATAGAAACATGATACAACAAGGAGTCCTGTGGCATCTTAAGGATTAACAGATTTATTTGGGCATGAGCTTTTGTGGGTAAAAACCACTTCGTCGCATGCATCTCCTTGTTTTTGCAGATACAGACTAATACGACTTATAAACCTGATTGTTAGTTGTCAGATAAAATGACTAATGCTTAAATGCATGGAAATTCAAAAATGTTTTACACTAAAACTAAAACCTCAGAAATAACAGCAAAGCAGTCTTTACTAACATTTGGAAAACAAACTATAGTTTGCAAGTTTATAACTGATAATGTTAACAACATAGCATTAGTTCTAAAGAGTTTAGAACAGAGGGAAAATAGAAG